TTCGATCAATATATTATAATAGTTGAGACAAATATCATGATTCACTTTGTTTAAATGAATATCTGCATACATAGAGATCTTGAGTGATTTTGAAGGACTCCAATTATCAAATTCTGATCTGTCAGAAAAAAGTTGTTCTAAGATGTGTGCAAAACTGTCAGCAGTTCCGCAAACTCCCCCAAATGTTTTAAAATATTAACAATCAAGATATTCTAAATATATACTCAAATTAAATGTTTCAGCATTTTCAAAGTTATGGGAACAACACTCAATTGTGTGTTTTTCTTTCTTTCCAACTGAAGGATATCAAAGTTCAAGTATTATGTTTATCATTTTGAAACTCTGCCAATAATTATATAAACCAATGAATAAAACAGTTTATGATGTGAAATGACAATTTTATGAACAGTAAACCTTCATTTCACATAAATATGCTTGATAAGAGCTATAATAGTGTTACTGACTTTTGATCTGAAATATATGCTTATCTCAGATAATAATACTACTGGACAGTTCTTATCTCATGAACATAATTGATAGATTTGTGATACATTTCAAGAAAAATAGAAACTTCTTACCTATTTCAAACTAATGATCTAACTCAATGTGTCTTTATACTTTTATCATTCAATTGTGACTCACATATAATCTAATCTCAAATATTACATTAGTAATATAATAAGATAATGAAACAAAAAGGATTTGCAAATACTCATATACCATTGTTCTAGCATATTTCAATTTAACTACATTCACCCTCCTTCCCCAATAAAAAACTGTTTTTGCTAAAAAGTTTATTACCAAAAATGTTCAGACTTTTTGAAAGAAGCAGGCATATTTTATGAATGGCGATAAGAATTGGAAAATATCAATACTCGTTTTGAAAATTTTAGATGGGAAATAATAATTGAGAACATAAGGGGAAATGGCAATTCATGACACATTTATATCCCAATTCTTATGTGAGTGCTACAAGTTTCATAAAAATACCTAACAAAAATAATTATACAAAAATCACAAGAACAGTTTCACATTCAAATTAGCTACAAAGTTGCATAAGAATATCAACTGCTTCAAAATGTATGAAAATTACCACAGACCAGATGAAAAACCACCGGGGGGTACTCTTCCCCTCCGAGGTGCGATTGGATCATCACTTTTCTTCTTCCCTTGATGTTCGTTATCTCCGGTAGGTTCTGTATTTTCATCTGTAGCATCATTTCCAGTCTTTAAGTCACTTTCTTTGGTATTTATTTCCTCAATTTCTTTACTGTCAGTTTTGGTATGTTCTTCTTGGAAACAACTATTGATAGTTGACTGAGGTTGATTTTTGCGTTTACTGGGTGTATTTACTATTTCATTTCCCCGGATCCCAAAAATGTCTGTATGTCCGCCTCCTGGTGGTTTCAAAACCCTGCTTGAGTTCTTGGCTTCAGTCAAACCCACATTGAAACTTGTTGAGGTCATTCTATAATAAAAAATGTGGCATTGAAGATATTATTATATGAACTATCGAACTAATTTCGCCAAGAAATGCTGAAATGCAAGTGAGTAGTGATGGAGAAATAGCCTGATAGGTATTATCAGATAATAATAATAATAATAACCGTTTATTGCCCTACATGATTTACCCATTAACAGGGATAATAACAAGAATAGAACAAATAGGTATTTGAAATATTGGCGTACTAAATAAAGAAAATAAAGAACCAATCACTTCCATAGATCGAGTGCCATCTTTTTTTATTGGAAATATTACTTCTAATATTTGCAATATGAGGTTTAAATGACATTTTTGGGTCGAGAGTGATTCCTAAATCTCTGATTGTGTTTGTTGTTTTCAGTTCTGATTGATTGATTTTGTATGGCCAGTTAATGGGATTTTTGTTTCGGAAAAAAGTAAATTTTTGACATTTGTCTATATTTAATTGCAGTAGATTCATATCACACCAGCGAACAAAGTTA